CGAGAGGCAACTTTCTCTGAACCAAAGAAGAAAAACACTGTTCTGGAGACTCAATCTATCGAAACTCTGGTCTTTCCACGGCCCCTGACTTACCCTGCTCTGCAGGGTGAAGAAAACTGGAGCAAAAGCACTCAGAGAGGGTTCCAAAGAGACACCATGGCGTGGGCTTCGGCAGAGAGAGTCAGAGTGGGTAATCGCGCAAGCCCGTCCTGAATGTACAGCTTGGCGGCTCTGATACTGCTCCATCTGCCCTGGTCTAGCGCTGCATCATAGGATAGTGTATCCTGAAAGAGAGCCGTGGCTCCCCCCCTTCGGAGGCTGTAGGGACGGAATCCCATTCGATGCACTTTGAAAGATCTACAGTACTCTTTAAATCTCTGTCGAAACGCAGCCTTGGACCCGCGCCAGATCGGAAGGTGAAGAGTATGCTGCTCACGCAAATGGTCCACCAAAGTGTCTAGCACCATAAGTGTCCAAGGGTGCTTGAGAGGTACGACTTCGGATATGCCTTTAGCCGCCGAAGTCTTGGTTTCAGCAAGACGAACAAGTCCGATATCCTTGCGGATCAGGATGTCAGCTCCCGAGAGCTCGAGGAGTTCGCCTGTTCGAAGAAGACCATCGAATGCCGCTAAAAGAAGTGCACCGAAGACGAGATCGCCGCGCGCGATGGCTTTGCCAGCAAAGGCATAGACAATTTCCCGCGGCAACGGTGGCGCCCGGCAGGGGACTTCTAGGCGCCGCCAAATGCGGAAAAGCTTCCATGTTTGGACCAACTTGCCCTTGCACCAAGGCATGAAGAACTGCAACCCGCAAAGGCCCGCTGAAGCATGGTAGAGTGGTCGTCCAGTCTCCCACATTTCTTCTAAGTGATCAGCAAGCATTTCGTCAAGTTCAAGTTCATCTGAGGCTTTGCGCACGATAGGCAGTAGTTTGCGGGCATATTTATAGTATTGTTTCAACGTCTTGGGCTGGACTAGAGAATCCCGCAAGGTGATACCACGACGTTCTCGGGCGCGCTCGGCCGCAGTCGGGCGCCCCAAGACCCATTTACGCCCGTGAGGCATGATCGGTGGGGTTCTCAGTGGATTCCACGTGACCTATTATTAGGTACAAATTAAATGCCATGAGATGTGCGTTGAGTTGCTGAAGCACATACTGAAGCTTGCGCAATCCCGAACGACCCTTTCCAATGACACTCATGCACACATATGAATCAGTCGCGTGAAACACTCGAGCGTTCAAAGCGGAGCGACGGCGAATATGGTGTACCATTGAAAGCAAGATGGCCCGGAGTTCCAAAGGATTAATGTGATCCTCATGCTTCCACCTAACACTAAAAATCGGCTGCCAGTTCCACCAGGACGCCTCGACGCCCTGGCGGGGAAACGCTTTGGGGTTCAGAATGTCTCCTGATGCGATCCTCACGTCGGACCCTGTGTGATTGGTCTTGGTCAACAAGATTCGATTCAAGTCCTCTGGGGTGTAAGTCCTACTCTGCGCCAGTGCCCGAAAGCCATATTGCAAGAACCTACCTAGCGGGGCTTGACTCCTCAAGTGGGCTCTAAAGCCGGGTGCAACGCCCATTCGCTGGGCAATCCAGCTATAGGGCACGCGTGGGAGAAACCGATGACAAAGAGCTGCTCCAGGAATGCAAAAGGAGTACACCGAGAAGCTATCCCCGAGAAGCGACCGACGGATATCTTCGACCGCTTGCTTCCCCACCTCCTCCTGCTTGGAGGCTGCTAAGCACAGCTTCGTGTGTCCGAAGCCATATCCAAGTAGAAGCTCTCGCTCTTCAGCTGAAGCTAAGCGCCACTGGTCACCTTTCCAAAACAAAAACTCTGGGGAATATTGATATGGAGGAAACCTATAGGAGTCCGAAGTCCAGCGAGCGATCGTTGCTTCGGTGCAACGACGGATTCCCGCGGGCTGCGGGGGAGGTCGATCCCGAACGATGGCCTTCATACAGGTGGGAAGAGGCACTTGGTGCCTCTCTCCCATCCATTGCCATTCCGGCTCAACCCACTGCCCCACTTCAGGGTAATCCGCCCTCGCATGCACACGGTTCCAGTAGCTATGGTGCGTTATCTCAAGGTCAGTGAAAGCCCCTTCCAATGACTCGGAACACCAAGCGAAGCGTGGACGCCTCAATGCTATCCGATTCATAAGGGGTGAGCCCAAACATCTTGGAGATATCTATGGCCGCCGTCTTATCCATGGACGAAACGTTTTCGATGACCTTTTTGTACAAGACCCCTGCACCAAACTCCTTCTTCACAAGTTCCTCAATCCGGGGGATTTCGAAAACCAAAGAAGAAGCTGGACCCTGTAACCCTTGTCTGTTCGCACGTACCCGAGAAAGGTCCACGCATGGGAAGCCGGCCCATATGTGAATCTCTTCTGCCATTGGGAACTCGAGGCGCCACTGCTTAATCATGGCCGCGTTGACCAGCCGAACATCCGGCACGATCTTCGCATGTGGCCATCTTCTTTCCACTATCCGATTTGCTGGCTTGTGAAGCTCCACAGCAATTAATCCAAGTGGTCGGATGTCTAAAATATCGTAGACTCGAAAACACCCTCCTATGCCATTAAATAGGGATATGACTAAGATTGGGACAGTTCCTACGTCTCCGCTTCGTGCCTGTGAACTCAGAACAAAGTCCTTCCCTTCAAGGCTCAACTCCGGCCCAATGCCAACCGCGCCCCCCCTGAGGGAGGCATCGGAGGCTGTGGTACAGTTGTCAACTGTCGCTCCAAGGAAGGTGTGAAGCAGGGGAGAAATAAGAATCAATTTCCAAAGCTCTTGTCTTGTTCCCAAAACGACCGATGGTGTTGGACGTGTCTGTGAAATAAACTTCCAAACCTGGGTGAGCATTACCATGGCCGGCCTCCTAAACTGTAGGGCATGGACCCATCTTCCTACCACGACCTGCACCGCTTTACGGTTAACATGTATCAGAAGAAGGTACAATGTGACATGTATCAGACGGATGAACCGCTCTCCCGAAACCGAGATGGTGTGAGTCTCGCCATCGATCCAAGCGCCCAGCTCTTGTGCCGTCGAAGCTCCTGAAACTCGCTTCTTCTCCGAAGAGACCAGCCCCGACTGGCTCCAGATGTCCTCGACAAGTCCGTGGAGAGCATGTCCTTTTTGGAAGGAGGAGGGACCGGAAACACGTTGACCTGCACAAAAATTGTCCAAATATACGTGCCACCAGGGCCTATCGCGAGATTGCCCTTCGTGGACGCACGCGGTCAAAAACAATGGAAGTGCGCAGCCACGAGAAATCTGGGAATCGGGTTCAGCACCGCCTAGATATGCTACTCTCTCTGCTACCTCCTGCATTAAAGCTACTGAGCTTATCCATCCCATTGGGATGACCCGGCAAGCCATTACATAGGTTCTATTGTCTGTCAAGCCCAAAAGGTTCCCCGCGACTTTGACGTTGAACGCCAGGAACTTGGTCCATTGTGCAGGCAATCGAAACAGGTAAAACGCTGAAGAGAGGTCACTCTGGAACCATGCGATGTGGTCGTCTATCTCAGTGGTGATGCCCAACCAGGATGTGATAGATGGGAGATGTCGGACACAGCCAGCAATTGGTTCCATCACTGAGTTGATTGGTACTAGATTCATGATTAAACGCAAGACGCTGCGACCGTCCGCCAGTGTGGTTGGTTTTTCAACGCCAAACAGCCCTGACAAGACTGGTTGTTTACGAAAATGAAACACCGAGTCCAGGGGTATCCACTCACAGATCTGTCTATTCACCAGCTCGTTACAAAGAGGGAGAAGTTCTTCCGAAGAGCAATGGACTCTGGCTTGAAGTGGGGGTAACTCTTGGCCCTTATCCGCAACAATGAGGGAATGTGGATCTTGTAGGAGTCGTTGTGTACCGGGTGAAAGAAGAGCCATAACATCAACAGAAGCACCATGTTCACCAGGGGGAAGAGCTGGAAGTACCTGCTCCCTCGTAAGAATGTGACAAGTTCCCATTTCCTCCCCCGTATACGAGATCCGGATGCCTTTTAGCTCGCCTCGAATCGCGTCAGCGCTCCCCTTCGAGCGCCCTCCAAGGCGGAGAAAGCGCTCCACTGCTGCGTGCGTTGCGGCCGCGGCACGAGCCTGAGCTTTGTTGGTCAGGCCCTTTGCCAGCGGCTGGAGTCGGCTCCTCTGGGCCCTCGTCCACATCGATGGCCTCGCCCGGCCCCTTGGTGTCTTGTAGCCAGGTGGTGGCCGTTCGAATGGCGCGGCTCGTAAGCCAGCCTTCTGCTCCATGAAGAGTATTCCAAATGAAGCGTGTCACGTGGAGACATCCAGCCTCTTCCTCGAGGCACGGAACGGTCCCACAGAGGTGGAGGCGTCCCAGCCGCCTGTTGAACCGTGCTGATAACTCCTTGTTGACCTCGGCGGAACAACCTCCCAGGAACTTGGCCTCTATTGAAAGCGTACCCAAAGCCTTGAGCAAAGCGACCTCCATGACAAGAAATGGAGCCCAAGTCTCCGCGTCCACGTTGAGGTCGGTGGATTGAAGATCGACAAACAACACATCCCCCCGTAGAGGTGAGATCAAGCACCATTGTTCAAGATTCTGTAGATTGAATTCTTCTCCTTCTGAATGAGGCCGCCCGCTCATGGCAACCTGTTGAGGCTGTCCTCCCCCTTCTCCGTTGAAAGCGTATCCAGGAAATGGTCGGTCAGCTTGCGGTGAACTGGCAGATTCGGGTCCTGCTCAAGCCTTCCCAGCCGTTGACGCTTTCCGTGGCGAGGTTTGGTACCCTTTTGCGATGTTGCTCCTCCTCCTCGGTGGTGTCGACGTTCGCGATGAGAACCACGATGATCACCCCGATTGGTAGCCTCCTTCTTGTAGTGAGGCGGTGGTCCCTCAGGCCCTGGTGGACGCCTGGTGTCCTTTCCGGCCAGAGGTGCAGGAGTGTGTGTTGGCACTTCCTCTTCCGACTCCTCCTCAAACCGCTCGGAGTCCGTCTCCTCCTTGGTGTCCTCCCTTTTGGGGGCCTCAATTAGGCGTTTGGGCGCGGCGCCTGCCGGCCTCGGGTCTGGACTGTCGGGCTTGCGCCTCTTGAGTTCTGGACGGTCTGGCTGATGGTCCTGTTCCTCGTTGAACCGCCTCCTCGAAGATGCCTGGGAAGCCACCTGATTGGTCCGGACGGCCTGGCTGTAGTTCCGGAGCCCCCTCACCTGACGCACGCAGGAGATGACCAGATCACTGGCCAATTTCCGGGCCCCGTCCGCCGGCCACGGACTACAGAGCTCGCGCCCAAGGGCTTCCCAGCCGGCGCAGCCCAAACACCAGGACTCCCCGTCAGCAGCGGGACTCTGGTGGCACTTGTGGCACAGCATTCAAGCTGCGCCGCATGAACAGCTTTTTGAGCCGGGCAGCGGTCAGGCAACCACCACACTAGTCAAAAGACTACATACCAGTCTGATCCAGCAAGGAACTTGCAGGTAGACCTTAGACTGCCCGTTTGTCTGAGGCTACCCACTGTGGGGCGATTCAGAAGCCGCCATACCTCCATCAGCACAAAGTGAATTCCGTAGAGCAAGACCTGTCCCAGTTGCAGTGGCAAAGTGGGTGTTCAAAGCAGTGCAATTGACAAGTTCAATCTGCTAGGCTGCCAAATCAGCCAAATCAGAGTTCAGGCTTCAGGAAAATGTGCGCAAGTATCATGCGATTCTGTTATGAGCAATCAGCACTTGATTCAGAAAAACAGGAAAGGTTTGATATGACATGAAAGATCCATAGCTGGGCAAACGAAGCAACGGTGCTTTAGCGGGGCCCTGGCCACAAGAAAATAGTTGTCAATCAAAGAGCCTGGCTCGAGCAGGATATCGCAGACATTGCCCTTACACTTCCCACAGCTGGAGGTTATATTGACCTAGATAGACTAGAACCCTCATTCTGCAGCGAAAACTGGCCGTTCAATGATGCAATGGACAATGGAGTGCAAATGTGCAAACATGTCAGCGCTACTGTACATAACGGCAAGCAGAAATACGAGACCTGAGATCCAAGTGCTGCTTTTTTAACCCAATGTTCAAGAGACATGTCTGTCAACAGGATCCTATGGTGTGCAGTTAGTCTCCCCAGAACAAGGAAAATTAAAGAAAGCTGTTGTTGCAGTGAATCTTTGGTCTAGGCCTCTCAAGACAGCTTGAGAACATTATAGTAATTTGCAGCCTTGATTTCTTTGCTGCCGTGATGGGCGGTGCATCTCAACTTATATAAATCCTGCAACCAACAAAGGTTCAAGAATATGATGTAAGCAGAAATCAGTAAAGAAAAGCTGCAATAGAATCTCACATGCACGCAAGCAGCAGCACGTCTCGCAAAGAAGGAAGCAGGCCTTGGTGTCAATTGTCTGCCTTCGACAACTCACACAGCATTCAAGGTTGGAAGATGTCAGGCCATCTTAGGCTATCAATGTAGAGACGGAGGCCAATCCAAAATATCCAACCAACGAATTCTTCGAAAACCCTTGGCAAATCACTCCTCTGTGTTAGGGGAGAAGCTGAGTGCTGGACTCGCTGAAAGCAAGAGAACCTTTTGTGGTCCAAGGCTCGCAGTAACCAGAACCTTCGGTCAGTCCAACTGGACTGGCCAACTGGCGGCGAACTCGCCTTTCCGAACGCTCACCGGACATGCTTGAAAGCAAACAACCACATTGAAAGCACGATCTCTGCCCTGGACTCATAAAGGGATGAGCGCGGATCCCGCAAACCGGTCCTTAGGAGCTCCTGGTCACAGACTCAGACAGCTTTCAACTTGTTTGACGTATCTTCGACGCACCTCTGTGGACTTCATTTGCTCAAGTCCGACCGTAAAGCGATCCTCGGTGCAAAGCTGCATGAGCTCGGCGAGCTCCCCGGTGGGTGAGCTCTGGACCGTCCAAACTGGCACTGCGATGGCGAATTGCCAGAACTCATTCAAGTCGCCACCTCACAGAAGCCAAACAGGTTAAAACACCTCTGAAAAGAAAAGCCAACTAGCAACAAAAGTAAGGATGGGAGGCAGGCTCGATTTAAATGGGGGCTCCTGGAGTGAAACCTGCTGATTCATGGGATACACATTGAGACACATTGATTGTAACACTGTAGATTAATGAAGGTGATATATATATATATATACCTGAGAAGGGGGGACGAAAGCCAGCAGCAGCCAGACGAGTGTCTCCTTTCTGGCGGGCGTCGCGGCACAAGACACATGGTCGGCAGCTTGCGAGTCAGCGGTGCTCCGGATGCGGGGGGGCGTATGTAATGGTGATGAAGGGAGCAGAGAAGCAAGCCGGGCGGCTTTGGGATAAGTTTGGTATGAAAGAAGTCGTGAAACAGAAGTGCGATACGTTGTATGTTGGTGTAGGTCATCATCACAAGGCAATGGCATGCGCTTGTCACACGCAGGAAGGTATGCGTTTTATAGAAGTTGGAAGGCGACATCAGCGTTAGCCAAGGGGAAATACCATCTGAGTGCAGGAAGACCTTCTCCGTAGTCAGCGTCGCCGCGCGCCAGTATGGCTTGGGGTTGAAAAGAAGCAAGTATTTGTTTGCTACATTTGGAGTGTTTGCAGTTTGCAATGCATACTGCGGCACGTCGAAAAAAGCGGCATTCATTGATGATTTGGAAGAGTGAACGGGCACGTCTTAGCCGGGACGTGGGAGTAGCTTGGGCTAGCAAAGGAGTGAGGATTTGCGTGCCTATCGATGCACATGCCTGGACTTGAGTGAGTCATGTCCTGGCTCGATCCAAAACACAATCTTTTTCCTTTAAAGGGGCCTTTATTAAACGATCCAAACACCTTCTTTATTCTTCTCTTTCTTATCAACTCTGCGCTTTTCTCACTCAGAGGCCTTGATTTTGGCACCTGCGTGTGTAGATCCTTGGGCCGTGGACCCAGGCTGACTGGATTCGGCCAGGGCTGCCAGCAAAAATCTCTCTCTCTCTATCTCTATCTCTATCTCTCTATCTATCTATCTATGTATGTATCTATCTGTCTATCTATCTATCTGTACCGGCAAGCCGGAAAAAACGCTCGGTGCGTGTGGACGCCGCGAGAAGCATCCACTCGACTGAGGACATGGTGCAAGTATAGTTTTTGATAGGGGAAGGAGCCCTATATGGATATGTAGTCAACCTCGCAGGCATCCCACCGAAACTCAATCCAAATTCATGGACTTGAACTTGAACTCATGTCACTTTCGGTTCTCTATGGACTTCGCGAGTTACGGGTTGTCCTGGGCCAAATCCTACATGCGCCGGCGGTCTGCTCTGTCCGTGGGTCCCTGTCTCCACTCGATTGCTCAATGCCCATTGTGCAAGTAGCCTCCGAAGCCCTTCATGATGCCAATGATGCACCACTCGGTGTTCATTGCATCACTCGCATCACCAGACCCCATTTTTACTGCTTTTCTGACCCTCGCTTTGGAGCGCTCTCCCCCACCAAGCTCCGGGTTCGCCCTCTTCAAGTTGAGCCTTTTCGCGACCTCCCCCCCACCCACACCCCCTTAACTCACTTCGTTCGCTCTAAAAGCTCAAGCCTAGCCTATCGGCTGGCTTTCGTAATATAAGTATACTATATAGTTACAGTAACTTCGACCACCAACTCTTGTAGAAATGGCTCGGATTGTGAGGGTGGTTTTATTAATCTCTGTTGACATCAATTGCAGTCTAAAACACATCTGGATTTTCACATCGTGAGAAAATACCAGTCACGTGTTTGCTGGGCTACGTCGTGCCCAAAGTTGGAACTGTAATGTCGAAAGGCCCTCGGATGCAAAGGCACTGGCTAAGCGAACTCCTGAGCAGAGATCGCAGTTGGTGCGGTGAAGCAAAATGCTCAAAGGACATGTTGAGTTGCTGCAGTTTCGTGCGGAGAAACCAGAAAATAGAATACATATATATAGTATATTATAGTATAGCCTATAGAATCAGAAGACCCAGTCGATATGGGCAAAGCATTGGAAAGCATGGGACAACAACGTCACGCAGTGTCATCTTGCTCATTCTTGGCTTCCCACAAAGTTGGCTGTGGGCAGAACAGCACTGGTGCAATCAGCCTCAGCAGTTTGGAATGCTATTCTGAAAGAACAAGAGACTGTGCTCGTATAAATGCCTATGGTCTATGGAAACCCTTAGTGTACAGGATCCTAGGTGGCGATGTGGTCAAGCTGCAAGCTATTAATCGCAGGATTGTCGCATACTGGCGCTGTTGAGTAACCACATGGATGAGGTGGCCAGCAGGACCATCATTGGTAGTGTGGAAAATCCCATCGCCTGCCAAGACAGTTCAAATATGTTCAAACAAATATTCCCTCAAGGGCCCAATGGATATGCACTCTTCAGGGCTTTCCGAGTGAAACCAGTCCAAGCTTGAATTGGCCTGCGACACAAGAACATAAGCATAGTAGCCTCAAACGGAGAAGCATGACGACGATAGGATTCAGAGTGATCAGTTCTCGTTCGTCGAGGAAATCATTTGGACTATCGGCGGGTCATCTCTCAAGTGATAACGTTGCATTCACCATATTCTCTTCTCCCTGCCCTTGTGAAAGCCAAATAGTTTAGAGCTCCCTTTTTGAAAGGCAACAAAAGAATCAGCGCGCAATCTGAGTGGCTGATGAAAACCTTCAAGGCTGGATAGTAGTGCGATGCACCTAAGCTTTGAAAATGGCTCACAAAAGGCTTCATCCGATACGTCCATTTGCACATTAGCGCTACATCTCTTACGCAGCTTATCCTTTGCGCAGAATGCATCTGAGTGACAATGGATGAAGTAGCATTCCTTCCAGCTGTAATGCGTGTTGGCCTGGCAAGCTCCAGCAGGATCGAACAAACACTGCAAAGCGAATAAGTCAAGGGAACATTTGGCCGGCCAGTGGCAATGTAGGACCTCAACTGAGCAACACAAATCTCACGCTTCAAACACGTTGTAAATAGCCCCCACAATCTGTCAGCTTGGGCTCCCTGCGCCTCTCCAGTAACCATCGTCTCCTTCGCAGCAATAAGGCTAAGGCTTCATCACCACTTTCAGAGGCACCGCTCGCAGAAGTCTGGCACCATCTGCTCATGTTGCCACTGATGTCAAAATCACCAACACAAGGAGTCCCAAGAGTGCTTGCTCGTTTCTGATTGTGTCTACTGAGTCTTGGCCCTGCCTCCCTACACGACTCTTGCTTGAAGTGGTTGCAAGGCTTTTGGTGACTTGAAAACACAGGTGAACTTGTCTTTGGAACATTTTCCTCCAATCCCGGCCGTGATAGGTCCTGCAAACCCGAAGCAATGGACTTATTGATGAAGGTGAACATCGTCATGCATCCAGGGATCTTAGCCGCCACACGAAGGAGCTACCGGTGAAACACCGATCAACAGGGCTCCAGGCTGATGGCAGAAAACGCAAGAGACCTTCTAGAGGCCCGTATTCCAGCGTTAGCTCCTTGGTATTCCAAGTGAGCTCTTTGGGTCTAAACTCCCGTTGATCAAAGATGATGAGTGAAGCATGCCATGCAAAACCAACCCATAGCTTCTTGTTACTACTAGTAAGGCCAGGAGCTACTAGTAGCTGCTTGCTCCTAGTAGCGATGCCCTTTGTTACTAGTAGCTTCTTGCTACTATCTTTGTCTACAAAAGCTCAGCACATGGCCATGAAGCGCGGAAACATGGCGATTGTTCCCATTGAGAGCCTGGATTACTTGCAAGGTTGCGGCAGCTTGTTACCCCTTCTGCAGCTTGGCACCGAAAATCAAGCATGCCAGCAGGTACGTCCATTCTGTCGCCAGCATGGAATCGAGTGATGCCACATCTGTTAAAGACTTGGAGCACAGAGCGAGGAGAATGAAGAGGAACACGTAGACCCTGAGTGCACTGCGGTTTTTGGTTTCAAGGCAAAGCTTTCAGTCAATGCCACCATCTATGGTCATGACGTTGCAGAGATGTCAATTAGCAAATTGTTGAAATAGAAACCAACCTCAGAGACTCAAAAGGATGCACCTAAAGTTGCTTGCTGATCCTGGAAATCCTGACTGTGATTTCCAACACGGTTCAAGCTTGGCAATAGATACGGAAATCATAACTTGGGGCTTTGCAGATGCAAAATAGAAAGAGAAGTTGTCAACCTTGGAACACCAAGTCGGGATTTGCTTTTGCTGCAGAAACCTCCACGGGAAATGTACGATCAAAGAGTGTGTGCTCAGAAGTCCAAGCTAGTGACCACATTCATGTTCCTCGGATATGGTGTCAGAGCTATTGGTGACAGGTGCACATTGGACTAGCCATAATATCGACTGAGTTTATTCATTAGCAAGTCTCTGGGTAAGTATCTTCAGATCCCGTGACCGCATAACGCCAACATTGCCCTTGCTGACCTGTGCAAACGAAGCAGCTACTCTGTGTGTGTGATGAGCTTTCCTTGAATGATTTCCATCGATTTTTTCTTGGGTTACATGAATATGATTCCTTATGATTTCCATTGCAGAGTACGAGTAGCGCCTTGGTGTAGAAAAGCGCTGCAGCGTTGAAGGAGGACTCTCGACCCTTCTCCCAGGCCAGTGTATCCACGTGCTTGGAGGCTTCACCTCTCAACTCTGAGCCTTCACCTTTCAAATCTACTAGCGATGGTCTCCAACCTAATAGCGATAGCGATGGCCTCCAACAAAATAACAATAATGGCCTACCTAATAGGGATGGCCTCCTAATGGCCTCCAACCTAGCCTCAAGATTCTGAGCGCTCAAAAAAGAATGAGCCCTGGAAGAGAAATGGCCTCTCATCCGCACATTGAAGCCAGCAAAAATATCCTGCGTGGGATCTTTTGCTATCAAAGCATGATCCAACAACAGCGCAGCAGGCGCAGCAATCAAAGAGTTGAGATCTGTCAACGATATGATGCTATGGATGTATATGTATGTATATTTATGTAAATGTATGTATATATGATGATCACAGTTTCTTGCTCTGGCCATCCGGCACACCAACAGGTCCTCCGAAAGGTTGATTGTCGGAGATGCTTTTGACAAGGAGCCGCGATTGGAGGCCCAAAAGCCATCCAAGAAATCAGGATGACCATAATGCATTCCTAAGCAAAACAACGCAAGCTGTGAAGTTTTGGCCCCCCTGGCAAAGATGTGCAAACACTTGCCACCAATCTTGGCAGTGTGAAGTGAATAGAGTGCATACCATGGCATACAAGCTGCTTGCCCCCAAGACGGATAGGAAGCGCCTTGGTCTCATTGCGTTCAGCCACATGGTTTTGCCGCTCAACAGCTCCCGATGTCGAAAGTTCTGAGCTTTGCACTGGCAGATCGTACCGAAGGACCATTCAGCCGAGGCCATCACACTACCCACTGCTCCATGGCTCTCTGTGAAGATGAATTCCTTTGGTGTCCGCTGGCACTGTCAACATCTACGATAGAATGATCTTTGCGCAAGGTAGAAAGCCCATCTCTCTGGAAACTTCAAAAGGCAAGTCTCTCGAAAGCCAATAATCCGCGCTGTCACTGTGCTCCTTGCAGCTGCTTACCGCGACATGCGATCTGTTGGCTTGCCTTTCCTCTCGGTCCTGTCGTACCAGTGTGGCTGGAAGCGGCGCAGAATGAAGGGCACCTTGCTGGCCTCCCCCAAAAATGCGCCCATGTTGGCCTCAGCAAAAAAACCCTCAGACATCAGGAGTAACATCTAAAATAGGTTAGCAGTTAGCAAGTGTTGCTGCCAAGACTTCAGCAAATTCGTTCGAAGTGTTCCGAAAAATTCTCGCCATGTGTGCCAAAGCCTTTCACCATGTACTTTACCCCACTCGGGTTGAGCGAATCAGAGTCCACACGACTTCAACAATAGACCAAGCAAAATCTTGTTGCACGGGAGTGGCATCCATCATCTGCAAGAAGTGGCCCCTTGAAAACCGCAGAGCACCGAGTTGGTTACCCGCCTGGCAACTACAGGTCATCAAAAGGAAAAAGTTAATATCATTTAAAAAGTAATACCAGCATAGACCCCAAACAGCTTAATCGTCAAGAATTGTTGTTGTGGGCGGCCGCAGCCCCAGCCCCTGCCTCAGAAAGCAACGTAAACAGCAAGACAGGAAACAGCATGACAACAGAAAGACCAGAGGAACAACAGAACACACCAAGAGATAAGCTGCGGCCAGACAGCGCCAAAAGGACAACACCCGAGGACTTGAGGGGAGCGCACCAAGAGGAGAACAGGAGGAGAAGAAGAGAGGACAAGAGGAAAACAAAAGCAGAACAAGAGAAAGACAAGACGACGACGAGAGGAGCACGACCGGAGATAAGCTAGCAGCCGCGGCCATTGAGCACCTAAAGAAGAACAAGTAGGCAAGGAGGAAGGACGCTACTAGGAACAAAGGGCATCGCTACTAGGAGCAAGGACGCTACTAGGGCCTAGGGGCTCCTGTCCTTACTACTAGGAGCAAGGACGCTACTCGGAATAAAGGGCATAGCTACTAGGAGCAAGGACGCTACTAGGGCCTAGGGGCTCCTGGCCTTACTACTAGGAGCAAGGACGCTACTAGGAACAAAGGGCATAGAAGAACATGAAGAGGGCCGGACCGAAAGGATTGCGACAAAAGGAGAAGCAAAGTACGTCTGGACAGGGCTCGCCGCGGCCTGACACCGGCTTCTGGGGTTGCTTTCTGGAGCTGTCAGCTTGCAGCGCACGCTCGCACACGCTGACAGGCTGCCACCTGGCCATGCTGCGGTACTGCGGCGCCACACAAGGCTTGCGCGAGTGCGATTGCTTTCTCGCATTGGGCCCTGTGATTGCGCTTGGGGACGGTGCTTCGCGCGCCGCGCGTTGTCATAGTGTCATGTCTACATGCTGCCATGCAGTCATCTGGACACCAGCAAGAGGACAACGGGAGGACAAGAAGGACAAGGCGAGAAGAAGAGGACAAGAGCTGGAAAGGACAAAGGACAAAAAGAGGACAACAAGACGACAAGGACTGGAGGCCGGCTGGCAGCTGCGGCCAAGCTGGACACCAAAAGAACAAGAACCGGCGCGGCCAGAGACTGTGTCCAGCTCCTTTTTTTCCTAAGAGAGAACCCCAACAGTAAACTGTTTGGGGAAATATATATATATATATGAGATTTCAAGAGGCCCTTACCTGTTTGATGTTTTTTTGCTTTATTTTGCTTTCTTGCTTTTCTGTAGGCTCAAGGCTAGTAGGTGTGAACAGGTCTGAAAGGCACAGAAAAAGGAAGCCACGATGACCTGCCTTGCCCTGTGTCATGAAGCCGGGGGTGCCCACCAGCAGCGGGAAGCACCTGGATATGCTCAGCTTCTGTCTGAAGAAGTATAAAAGTCTCTCGGGTTTGCCTATCAGCCTATCGAGCTGCTCGCGCGGTGCAGACAGGGTCATGGGTTTGGAAAATGAAACGTTGGGTTCAGCAAGTCCGGTTTGGAAACTGGACAAAATGCATTTGGAAACTAGGAGCGTGGGGTTCGGAAACTTGACATGTTCCGGATCAGTTTCTGAACTGTAGCTTGCTCCCAAAGGGTCAAAGGGCTTGAATTTCAGGGCCATCAAGCATACAGGCAGCTGTGGCTACATGTACTTTGGAACATTGTTCCAGGATTCCACTCCATAATTTTACAGCATTCACCCGCGCCGTCTCAGAAAAAATGTCCGTTACCCTGGTGACACACCTGTGTTCGCGTAGTTCTCGCGCCTGGGCAGCACTTCAATGAGCTCGAGGCGGCTGTCTGGCACCTCCTCCGAACACTTGGTGTCAGCACGGAGGCGGGCCAAGACACTCCTGGTGGACAGGAGAAGTCACAAGAAGCCTTCTGAGAGGAGTGTTTAATCTGCTTCTGTGCTATATTATACATATTTTTTTTTCTTCGTCTCTTTTCCTGAGCTCTCCGGTTGCTAGACCGTTTTGGTCTTGAAGCAGCTAGGCAACGTGGTTTGTGTTGCCTGCTCGCCGCACACAGTTCTCAGGCCCTTGCTGGCCTGATACGAATCAGCACGATTCGTAGCGTGTGCCTTGCACTGCGTGCAAAACACCTTGCCCCCTTGACGCCACATTTTGTGGCTTGTGTGGCCAGTCCAACCACTTGGAATCGGCCAGGGCTTGTTCCAGCAAGGGCTCGTTGCCAAAGCCAAAAGTTTCTCACGGGCTGAATTGCGCAAAATGCGTCCCTTACAGGCCGTGCAAACGATGTAGTGCTTCTGGACTTCAAACTGGTGACTCTCCATCTGAGGGAGCGCACCATCCACCATTTGATGAATGAGTTCATCTTTGGTTGGAGCTTCAGGTGGTTTCCCACCAACCAAATCAACTTTGGCTGCGCCTGAGCATGACTCGGTTGCTGCCTTCTCAAGGTCTTCTACTGCGCAATGCTTTGTGATGCGCACCTGGCATTTGGTGCATTGCAGCCCAACGCCCTTTTTTTCCCAGCTGTGGCCATGCTCCGTTTGTTGGTTGCCCAGGTCAAGGAAAAGTTGGGTCTTCTTGGCTCTTGTCTGCTCCCTCTTGGTCTTTCCTGCTTCTCTTGTCTGGTGTAGGAAATGATCCTTCGTCTCCATCAAGTATCTGATGCGCTTGATAGCCAAAGGTGCTATCTTCTGGTAGCGCTGATCATTGAGGTGCAGCTCCTCTTCTAGGTGGTGAGGTCGAAGCGACATGGCCACTTCCTTGGCCGCCTTGGTGGCGTCTCTCAGCCTGGCACGGACCGTGTACACACCTTTGGGCATCTCGTTGACCTGCTTGAGCGTCAGGCTCAACGGTTGTATTCGCTGTCTTTGATCGGCAGTCACTAGGTTGTTGAGGTCGAAAAAGGTCTCGGAATGGCGACCCTTCACCCAGGCCTCCCAGGCACGCACCGAGAGAACCTGCACTACCACCTTCTTGGACAAATCCAGATAGTGGGCTATGAGCCTTAGCCCGTAGAACCAGGCCCGTTCAAGCGACTGTTTGCCTGGCAACACTGTAGTGACAGCTCCTTTGCGAAAAAGGTCTCCATTCAAAAGAGTGTGGTGCACCAATGCGACAACAAAATGTTTGAGTCTCGGGTCATGGCTCGTCGGGGCGATGCCTATGGTCACCATGTCATGGTCTCCAAGCTGAACTTCATCATTGATGGTCCAGGAGCCCCAGGTCTGGACGGCCGCTCCTCCAGTTGACATCTCATATTGTGGCAACTGCAACAAGCCCTGGGACCAAAACTCAAGGTTGATCCCATGTTCGATCTCCTGCTTGTCAAGCTGGTCCATCGGTGCAAACTGCTTTTGCGTCTGTGGGCACAACCAGAGGAGATGGATTGGTGTGGCCTCTGTGTGACAGTGAGGGCACATCAGATGCTTGCCTTCCTGCCCATCAGCACTGCGGGTGAAAATTGCACCCTGATGCCACGTTTGCAGCGCTGTGTTTTGGGGTTTGCTCAACTGTCTGCTCATTCTTCTCCATGGCAGCCAATCCAATGGCTGCTGCACTTCTTGAAGGAAAGTGCGTTGGCTGACTTTCATGACAGTTTCCCACTTTTTGGCCCTGTCCAACTCTTGCTTCAAGAAGAACCAATCGGCATGCATGTTCAATCTGCATTCCGGTTCCCCGTTGTGGCCAGGCTTGGTCCACTCATCGTACCTGTCGCATTGCCAGCCATGCTCCATCAGATAGCATTGCAGTGCAGCCACTGGACCTTTTGCATGCTGCCAGGGATGTTTTGCCGCCCGGAGTTTGTCCTTCTGAACATTCCAGGCTTTCTCCAAATCTCTGGCAAGGTGTTCTGGCCAGTTGCCGAAAAATCGTCGGTACAGCCGCACCTGATCCTCAAATGCACCATAGTCTGGATCTCTATGCTGTTTTTGCATATCGAAGAGGATGTCAATGTTCCCCGTCTTTTGCAAACCCATCTGCCTGCCCATGGTTGCTCGGAGTCGCCGGCGGACCTGGGGAGCCAGACCCATGGCCTCGTGGCCCCAGCTAATGCCTGCTACAATGCTGCCCTTGTACAATTTGAGGCGAATGGCACGTTGAGGGATCTTCAAAGTCATCAGCTTGCGAGTCTTCCTGGCCGCTTTGGTGCGCCTAGCTCTCATGGTTTGTATCCTTCTCAAACGGCCAGCCGTGCAGTCTACTCCAAGATCTCGCATCACATCATGGACGCTAGGGCCTCCCTTGGGAAGCTGTTCTTGGAGGATCTTTTTGACTGCTGCATTGGATACAATGAAACCAGTCTTTTGGGCCGAGACTTTCAAATTGTCCTTCTCAAGTTCTGTTGACAAACTCATAGGCCTGTATCGCGATTCTTGCAGCATTGTAAGGGTCCTTGTCAACAACATCGAAACTCAGATCATCAATCCATAAGTCCATGTGCAGTTGAGGGTATCTTCTGCTGAACTCACGGAGGGCCCTTTGCAAATACACCTTAGCAGCCAAAGGTGCCTGCGGGTCACCTGCCAGGATGCCATGACTTGCCCAAAGCGGCTCTGACGCTTCTCCTTCTGCTTCCAAGATCCTGCTGCCAGCGTAAACTTGCATGGCCAGGGCCGCATGGGTTGCAGGATACGAAGAATCCAGCCAGCGGTTTGCCAACTTTTGCAGATTGATGCGGTCATAGAAGTTGGAAAGGTCCAGCAGTACAGAGACAACTGTTCGTCGGTGTGCCTGATGGTGTTCCGTCATGAAAGCTCTCTTCAAAGCTACCTGCAAACATTCTGTACCTGGCACTGCCCGTTCCCATGGGTACTCATCCTGTATGTTCTGAGCCCACAACTTGGTCTGCCCATTCCTTAATCGGCACCACAACCTGTAAAGAGTGGCAACTAAGGCAATGGGGCGCTCAATGACTTGAGACTTTGGCAGAAGAGCTATCAACGAGGTCCCCCATTGGCTGGGTATCATGGCCGCTGCCTCGATCTGGTGAAAGAGCTCTTTCAAATCTGCCATGGCGCTGTAGGGCAAAGCTTTGAGGAAATCAAAGCCAATGCCGTCCAAGCCGGGTGCCTTGAGTGCCAGTTGCTTGATGGTGTACCAAATGTGTGCCTCAGTCAACGGAGGGAGCTGCTGCGCTGCTGCTTGTCCTTTCTGGATCATCTGCTCCATGCTAGCAATGAGGACCGGTTGATCCTGAATTTGCCATATGTCCCCCCACTGTTGAACTCTTTTTGGCATTCGCTCACTCCTGGGCTGGTCTTGGAAAGGCCGCATGTAAGGCAGTTCATCCTTCTTGAGTGTGCGGTACAAGCCGCGGCACCCTTTCTTGGTTGCCTGTGTCAGCCATTGTCTGTATTCTTCAGTCTCTTGTTGAAAGCTCTCTTGTTGATGTAGTTCCCTCTGTTTGATGGTGTAATTCACAAGGACATGGATGTGCTCATCTCCATGCTGGTGCCACAGCATTTCAAACAACATCTTGTAGCCTTCACAAGTAACCGGAGCATCCGGGTGCCAGTTCTCTTCGATGTGCCAACCTAGTTTTTGTAAACCTGTCTGATGCCGAGGTTCACGTTGAGACTGGTGCAACAACCTCTGCAACCGGAGTTCGATCTGACCCCAAAAGGCTAAACTGCCTTTCCTCCAAAGCCACGGCTTGCTAGGGTCAGCAATTGGTCGATGGACATACTGAAGATGCGTGCCTCGCCCTGTGGTGGGTTTGTCCAGCTGTTGAAGCACATATCTTTCAATGCGGTCATACAGGCTGCCAGTCTGTGAAGTGAGGTTGTCGGTCTCCTTGTTCAACCAATTGACTTTGACATTTCTGGTTTCAATTTGGTGCCACTCTTTTTCCAGCTTGCCAAGCCTGGGCGCCGGTCCATACTTGGAGAGTTGTCGAACCACCACTTCCTCAAAATGGCCAGCCAATTGGAAACGGAGCATAGCATGAGGTTTGAAAGGCACCATCCAATCCGTCTGAACCTGCATGTCTGCTATCAGCTGCGTCGATACAAATGCCCAATCCAGCTCGTTGCCAGTGTTGCATGTCTCCTGTCCAGTTGCCAGAATTTGTACATGCATGACCTGTGCCATGGTGGTGGTCATGAACACTTCTGGTGGGATATTGAAATCACCGAAAACGATCACCGGTCGTTGCAGGCTCGTCACAAAAGCCACCAACCCAGCCCACAGCTTGCTGTTGCATGGTCCTTGCAACCCTTCGCCACATCTGAAATACGTCATCACCAAAATCAATTCGCTATTGCCAAAAGTCCAGGAAACGCCATACCACCCACAACCGTCAATGACCTGCTTCTGGACAAAATGGAAATGCTGATTTGGTGGGTATACCATCATGAAACCCCCATTGGTGCCTCCTTTGACAGTCTCAGCAGCTGGTTCTCCGAGCATGTTGAGTCCACGTGTGGCTAGCCATTGCTGTGTTTTTTCATGGTCCGCTGCACCCAAGTGAGTTTCCACCATGAACAAAGGCTTCCTGGGTCGAGTGATGATCCATTGTCTCACTGCCTGACCAAGCTGGGTGATGTTGGCGAAATCAAACTGGATATTCTCAGTGCACTGCCTCTTCGAAGCCGGTTCCGGCGCTATGGGTCTCTGGTGCCCGGATGTCACATCACACTCAAGGTAGGCCGGTAGCAGCCTTCTTGAGGGAATGGCCCAAACCTGCACAATCTGTTGGCACAGAAAGCCAATCAGTGAGTATTGCAGCGTTCTGGTTTCTTCTCCATCCAGGGTGACCGGCAAATTGAAGATCGAGGGCACGTTCAAAGCCCGGTGGTGCTTTGTCCATGTACCCTGAACTTGTTCATAGCGACCAATCTGTGCCACCCACAATCCTTGTCCATCAAAAACCTGGCCCTCTGCTGTGTTCGCCCATTCAGCGATCAGGTGTTCCAACTCTCCCGGTCCTTGGGACGCATGGAATAGCAGGTGAACCGGAAAGGCTTTGTGCTGCTTGACCTCCTGTCTGTAATCAACCTGGTGGTAGCTCTGGATGACATGGTCTGTTTCTGCAATCGCCACCAGTTCTTGCAGAAAATGAGATGCATCATCTTGTTTGTTGTCATCAAATTTCTCCCACAAGACTTCCAGCCCTGGAAGCTTTGGCAGATGAACTACCTCATCGGCCTTGAGGGCGTCCAGAACTGCTGTGGTTGTTTTGCTCCACAGTTGTGGTCCATCCATGAAAGCCCCCGCCCATGACCATAAGCGGAAGGCTGCATTCGCAAAACAGCGATTGTTGGGATTGCCAAGCCTGCATTGCAAGCTTTGTGCCACGTAGTCAAGCGGCCACATCGGGCCACTCCTTGGTGCATGTCGGTCAACCTTCATTTCTATGTCACTGCTGGAGTCCATGGTGTCATCCATGTCGCCAGCTCCTCCTGTGAAGCCAGGGAAAGGCGAACTCCCTTCCTGACTGGTCAGCCGCTGGTCGGCTGAACTCCCCATCTCAGGCCCTTCAAAGGAAAAACATCGCCTGAGCCAAAACTACCACACAACCTTGCATGCTCACATCACTGCTGCCCCTGGATGTTTGTGACAAGGTTGTGTCACCCCTTTCATCAGCCCTGTAGGGTAACCTGCTGTTACCCACACTTCCTCCTTTTTGCCGCGCTCTCAACAAGCTTCACGGCCAGGTCTTTCACCTGGGCTGATGTTGCCTGAAGCCCAACACTGGCCATTGCAGTGACTAATGCTTCACAAAAAAGTTCATCTGCCATCTCTTCAGCATCATCTTGCTTTTGCTTCTCAAGTTGCTGGTTGTACTGAGTGGTGGTGCTCTGCAACTCTTTCTGGGCCGCCTCAATCTTGCCCTGCAGTTCCTTGAGGTCTTGCAGGAGCTGAGTGTATTGAGCTTTAACTGCGTCTGCCTTTGTCTGCAGGCTGGCTTTCTTCTCGGTCAGCTGCTTCAGAGTGCCCACCGCTTGTTTGACTTTGGAAGCCAGCGGTGGTTCCGGTGGATCTGGGGCCACCAATTTCTCCACCGCCTCCTTCAACTCAGTAGGCAAGCTTTGGAGGTGCTCTTTGATCAATGTGGGCAAATCAGGTGTACTCGGTGGAGCGGTCACCTGTACACCTAAGGACGTGCATTTCTCTTTGAAAGCATCCGGCAATTGCTCCCAGTGATCTTTGAGTGCTTTCTGTAAGGCGGGATCTTTGGCCTTCTTGGCCTTGCGTGTCCTCTGGCCCCCTTGGAGTCCCGGTGGTGGTTCAAGCAATGCTTCTTTAAAGGATTTCTTTGGCCATCGGTGCCCGTCACCCTGATAGTTCCAGGCTGCCCAAGTCACCCTCCGGTTCTTCCGCAAGTCAGGGACCTGCGCGGTCTGCCATGCTTCTCCGCAGTGATTGCAAGCCAGGTTGGGTCTCGAGACCAACCGATCTTCCCAGATCCAGCTGCTCCTGCAGTGCATGCACACTTTATAGTGTCTTCTCATGCTTGGGCACGTTCTGGCCTTCCTTCTCCGCAGACTTGTGGTGTCCGGGTACGTCTGCTTAGCCCTGTGGCCGTCAGCCACAGCGCTTGATGCTGAAAATGGCCTTGAGCCATATATTTATATTATACATATATATATATATATTATACATATATATATATATTATACATATACAGTCAAATTATGTATATATATATATACATGTGTCTGTCCATATGTGGCTGTCAAAACTCCTGCCACAGCATACATTTGGGCGCGTTTCTGTTTCGACCAAATGAAAATGTTTCGGGCATCGCTTTTTGGGAGGCCCCATCGTTCCCCTGTTTCTTGCAAGTTCTTAACATTGAAGGCGCGATTTTTTAATTCATACCGTATTCTGATGGTTGCTCATATCAGTATAAATGTGTGTGTGAATGTCAAACACAACCCGTCAAGAAAACCAGCAGTCTGAAATCTGAAATGGCTGAGGTTGCGACGCGTAGCGGACAGGCCGATCATACCGGTACCTGATTGTTGGATGGGGCATAAGTAGTCAGCCGATAGAGCACCTTTCTAAGTGCGGGCGCACTTCTCTTTCACAAAATTCTGCACTGCGCTGGTGATGCTTGATCGCGTCTTGTCGATGTCAAAGTCGAAGACCAGGTAGAACGATCTGTCTTGATACTTTGCAAGTAGGTACCTAAGTTTGTCAGTACTTGGTAGCCTATTTTGGGCCCCCGATTTCAGGGACCCCCTATTAGAAAAAAAGCGACCGAGGTTTCCTTATTAGGGGGCGGGGGGGGGGGGGGGGGGGCGGGTTTTTGGTGGGGGGGGGGGGGGGGGCGGCCGTGTTTTTTATTAGGTGGACCGGATTATATACAGCCACCAGGTAAGCAAGAAGACGCAAAAGATCCTGGAAGGCACCTACTGTAGCTGACGGAGCAGCCAAACAACACCGACCCAACTGAGCCCTCCTTAATTGAATATCGATCCTGTGCAAACTCGTTATTGATCATTCCACGCGCTCTTGCCTCAGTCTTTCCTTGAAGCAGAACCAAAGAGTTGTTTCCCAGCAAGCCGTTTGATCGATCGATCGATCGATAGATAGATAGATAGATAGATGCGTCCGTATACCTGAAATGTGCAATGTGTTCAACTCAGCTCTCTCTTTCGCAACCTATCCAGTGGGAGAATAACGGCAAGGCAAGGCAAACGACCACGCGGTGAAAGGTTTGCAGTGGCCAATGCAAGGTGAACCGCCCGATGGCCAAGATTCCATCTGATCAATGTCAATAGATGGCATCCCCCTTTTGTCAAAAGTAGGGTGGCCAAGAAAGCGACGGCCCAGGATCACACAAGCGCTTATATATTCGATGAGCTGGCTGAATCATCTTGTGTACACATGCCATGCTCAACAACTCCGGGGTCCCTGATCAAATGGCCAAAGAACAAGAACACCTGCCAGAGGCAGGACAATCATTGCTCGCAAGTCCCTTGCCGGCAGTGTGGAGTTCAGCATGAAAGGCTCTTTGCTCATCATTTAGGCAAGCTGCCGCACTGCCCGATCATTCTCTTCAGAGCCGGCCTTGACAGCATGATGCTTTCTTGACACCGTGATGCTCAAACGAAGCACATCAAAGCGTTCCGGCCTTGCTACCATAAGTCTGATGTGCTAGAACTAGCTCCACGCAGTCTTCCAGTGCCTGCATTGCACTCTGGTCACATGACTCAAGTTCCGACCTTCGACTTCAAGCTGCCAAACTTGTAACAGTTCAAACACCATCCTACCAAGTCCTACCATTCCAAGAAAGCTTGCATTCATCCCAATCTTCAAGGTTTCCCCTCCAACCCACCTTGTGTGGGTTCCTCGAGGCCTGCACGCTTGGCAGCATGGCAATCACCTGCAAGCAAGTCAGGCATGAATAGGTGGGGTCACATGAAAAAACAGATTGCATTCCTTCTCTGTTACCCAAGGGACCAAGCCTCTTGGTATTGCATTGCACCGACCACAGTCCTGAATGCAGTTCGTCAAATGACCCTAATTAGGAGCAAGTGCTAAGAAGTGCAATGAAATAGCAGTGGATGATTAGACATTCCAAATTGGAGTCAAAGTGAGGCTCTCGATTTCTTGTTTGTGCGAAACCGACCCTCCGGGGCGTTTGGCATTTTGTACCAACCTCCACCAGCTCTCATTATGCAATTTAGGTTTTTGAAAAGAACCGCACCGGAGATCTTCACTTACACACAGCAGGCAAAAGGTTTGGCTGTGCATGTCACTGTCCTTGCCACTGTCTGCGACCTCATCGATGCCCACATGCGAACCTCCATTACGAGGCAGTGCAGAGGCCAGGTGAGATTGGTTGGCACAGCTTGGCCTCCATGCACAAGCTGGATGACAATTCTTGGCCGCTGCTGCCCATGAACGCGTTGTACATATCCTGCAATTCAAGTGGCAACCTACCCGGCATACTGAGCGGAGCTTCCCTTCCACTGTGTCATCCGCCCATGACCCCTCTCATTCAATTTCAAAGCGCACACAATTATATACCCTTGACATCCCATGACAACTATGAACAAGGACGCTTCTTTTGCAGGTGCCTTGGGCCAGAAAATAGGCTGCTTGTTACTAGAAACAAGAACACAAAGCTACAAAATGCATGTATGCTCCTTGACGGAATAGCTGTGCCTGTCACAGAAGAATCGCCACCTGAGAATCTCAGCGAGCTAACCGTGCGAAACCAGGCCTTCGTTCAAGAGACGCAAAGCGTGTATGTAGCGAACATGGCTTGTATGCTTGTAGTTTTTGAGCTATAGTACTATAGTGCAAAAGAATGCAAAAGATGTTGAAGAAAGCAAAGATGTTGAACACATGAAGAAAGCAAAGTGCAAAAGCCAAGTAGCTCATCAGGGAACTGGGAGATGATAAAAGCAAGATTTGTATTTGTCCCATCTTCCTCACAGCGCAAGTTTGTGGTTCTGCTGGCAAGTGTGTCTGACGTTAGGGAAACCGAAGGTTCTCTAGGTCCTATTCTAGGTTGGCCCCATCAAGATCGCCAAGATGCATCTCGCAGGAACTTCTTGCTGAGTATGACAGTCTCATTGTAGCACGGGATCACCTCCCAGTCTTGGAACCGGAAAATATGCGAACGGGCAATGCATGAACATCGTCAAACTATCTTGTCAAACCCTTTGCATCACTTATATAGAGATGTTCTTTGGCACCATGGATATCACTCCACTTCGGTGAAGAAGTCCTTTCCTCCGACCCTGCAACACCTGTGTCAGAGAAGGGATGTTCCCCACATGGCTGTCCAAGAGCGTGTCAATGCCAGGACGTATGCCTCAAAAACATGTGCATTGCCGGTCCATTCTCAGGCCATCGTGAATTGCCAGAATTCCACTTCGACACCAAGCCGCTATATTTGTCACTAGACCCCAGAAGGCTCCGGAGAGACGCTGTGAAGAAGCTGAGACGCCTTATGTTAAGTCAAGTTGCATACTGACCAATGTTCAACGTGAACCTAACCTAACCTAATTAGAGGAATGGTACAAAACACTCACGGAGCCGTGGTCAATGTGGATTTTGACAAATGTTGCCAAGTTTCTCTTGCACCACTGGTAGGAAAGATTGAAGCGTGATGCTGCCAGCCTAAAGAACAAGCTCAATCCTCAATGCTGGTGCTGGTCGTAGTAGGGTACTAACTGTTGTTCTTCCTTGAAAGTGCGTATGAGATGTTGGTGCTTGGTGATACTGAAACTGCAAGCTTGCCACTTAAGCATCACTGGCATCAGCAGTATCAAAATGACTGCTTCTTGCAACATCAGTTACAACTGCTTTTGCTTGATAGTGATTTGGCACGCCTTTGTCTCTGTTCGCCAACGCTCCACATCAAAGACCACACAGAGCTCAGTCCTGGGATGGTGCCAAGTGAGTGCAGTTTCTGGTTTGACTTTCACAAATCAATGCTCCAGCCAAGACTCTCACGTCTGGTCGGTGGCAAGTACGGCTTGTCTTGAAACACAAGTTGCTTCCACCTTCCACCAGCTTCATCAGTCTCATCTGTGACAAAGCCCTCCACCTCCAACGAATGGTCAGGCTTCAAACAAATGCTTCCTTTGCATGTGTACAGCTTAGCTTCACAATTCTTCATTGCCTTCCAGCACACAGGATCAAAGCCAGGGTCGTCCTCCAGGATGCAAGGTTAGTTTCCACAAAAGTTTTGCAGGTACTGTTCCTGATTGAAATCCCACTGCAGAAACCAAGAAGAGCGTCCGTTTAAGTTTAACTCTTGGATAAAGCCTTTTGACCGGAAGCAAGCGGCAAATCCAATCATGAGGCCCTCCTTGCCAGTCTTGAAGGAAATGGATTTCACACTTGCAGGCGGCTCAAGATTTAACTCCACCTCCGGTCAAAGGTTTCAAGAACGTTGCTGTCTCTGAATCAGTATTCACTCATGCACAAGGCCAATCAGCAGTTTCATGAAGAAACAAAAACGGTCTGTGCCTCAGAGAAGCTGGCACCATTGCGCTGAAACACCAACAAGGCAGGCAAGGTGACGTTGCATAGGTCTTCTATCAGATCCTCCTCAGAGCTCCACAGAGTGCACATCAATGAATTTTGCAATATGTCTTGTCCATCTTGTTATGCCAAGACTCCTTGCTGAGACATTTGCGGTAGTCTATGGACATCTTGTGACTGATCTCACTGTTGCCGGCGATGCTGTTCTCATGTCCATCAGCCGGGTGCACTGCCAATAGTCGGGAACCCGGAGGCAAGTCAAAAGCCTCAAGTTGACACACAATCACGTTGAATGCTGAAGAACACCCTTGCCTGCCCCACAACATTCAATAATCCAAAACTATCTCGGATTTGGCAATTCTGCAATACTTCTTCATGGCCCTACCTTTGAAACTTACTTGATCCGCAGCCTGACTACTAAAACCAACTGACAGCGCTGAACTCTGTCCCTCCTGCTGGCTGGCCTTTGGTCTAGTCTAATCCTACATCCACATCATTTAAGCAACAGTGTTCTGAGCAACGATGCAAGTTGTGCCAAAGTAAGCTGTCGCACATTGTCGGCGTACCCACAAGTGGTCTAGTTATCAAGTGGCTTCTCTACAGAAGTGGAAAAGGAATCCGTCAAGAAGCGGAAAAGGACACCTTCGCTTCCACACTCTTGTCCTCCTGCAACGCCTGCACGAGCTTCTCCCTCAGATCCTGGCAAGGTGAAATCGACTTGCCAGTTGACGAACTCATGAACTTCATTGTAGTCTGCGCATGCCATGTTTGTGCAAACTCCACAAACACCAAACAAATACGGTCGTAGAGCAGCGGTCGTAGCAGTGGTGTCCCCCGCCTCGGAGTCCTGAGATGCCAACAATTTGGGGATATCGAGCTCAAACAAGAAGCTGAATGCTACTAGTAGTTTCTTGTTACTACTAGTAAGGCACTTGTTACTAGAAGCGATGCACTTGTTCCTAATAGCTTCTTGTTACTAGTAGTAGTAATGCCCTTTGTTACTAGTAGCGATGCCCTTGCTCCTAGTAGCGTTCTTGCTCCTAGTAGCGATGCCAGGAGCCCCTAGTAGCGTCCTTGCTCCTAGTGCGAAAAAGAGATCACAAAGCGAGAAATGTTTGAAACTTCAGGTTGACACAAGGCAACGCGCAGAGTTTGCACACAGACTGAAATCCGGAAGCAAGAGTTGAAGGAAGTTCCCATCGCCAAGTTAGGTTGGAGGCCATCGCTAGTAGAAAGCAAGCTTCAAGATTGCAGTCTACAGTGAAGTCTTCGATGTCTGAGAGCACTCGCCTGGCACCAATACCGGTTGTGCACCATATTCACATGTTGTTGCTAACCTTAATATTCACAAGACGTCGTTATTGTTTCTTAAACTTCAATGCCATATTGTGTGTGTGGGTGTGGAGTGCAATGCAGGAATCCGTGATTCGCTAGCTGAAACAAAGACCATTGACAAGTGCTCAAGTAGTGTTGCAGCATCCATCTGTCTTCCCACCACATGAGACACGAATGATGTGCAAGACCTGGTATGAGTTTGTGATTCCTCCTCCCTGTCGCCTTTCGTTGGAATAGGCACCGGTTCTCACATGGACCTGTCAATTCATATCCATAGAAGCCCTCAGGTGCAGTGTTACTAGCAAGTTCAGCAACACACAAAACAGTGACAACGGCAACAGCAACTACAAAAATCACAAATATGTTCGAACTATCTTTTGTAGAAAGCAAGGATGGGAGATGGCATGGTATGAAAGCATATGACAAAAATGGCTTCTCCACTTCACTGGCTTTTGCAACAAACCTTACCATTCCATATCAACTACAAGCTCCATACAAGTAGAGGCAAAAGAAAAGCACAGATCAAAACAATCCTAAGTTCTAAGTCGGCCAGCCAATCATGCCGCTTGTGCAAGTCAACAAACAACAACTGACACCTGAGAAATCTGAACCTTGAAGTGTGCTTGGGTTAGTCATGCAGGCCCGCCCCAGAAAGCAATCAAACCTCCAGAGCAGAGATGCATCGGTAGCGGGCTCCCGCCGAGCTGGATTCCCTTAGCCACGCGCCACGCGCTAAGGAATTTGCCAGCTGGCCACGGTCCTACGGCATTATTCCATTGTTCACATGAACATGTTCAGCTCCATTGAGATCAGTTCAAGCATGCTGCAAGCTCTGGGACCATGGCTTTGCTGGGGTTCCACTGCGCAAACGCGTAGCTATGAAACGCAACCTGCTGAAGAGAGAAAGACAGGCTTTTGAAGGATTCAGGACCTCTTAGCACTTCACTCCCCTCGTTTGGGTATGGACGGTTATTGTCTGGTTAGTTGCAGACATTGTGTTTGTGCCTACAACTCTATGTCTGCTCTTAACAACAGCTTTTTGGAGAATGCGCCCTCTCTTGCCTGCGGAGAAAAAATAGTGAAAACTCATGTGCAAAGCGATGGAGTTGCTGAAACGTAGACGAAATACTACGAACACGTGTCATATGTTTCATGTTGCGATTTACTTTGGGCTAAAAGAATAATTAATGGTCAAAGTTGAGACTGAAAGCACTTCCTTCAGACTTGACTTTGAACTCCACTTCAGAGTCATGGTACGCCACCCCAGTCTCAGAGTGAAGCAGCCTTCACTTTGAATACCACTGCATTGTGCACCTATGACCATCGACCCATTTTCTTCGGGGTCCCTTGCTCAAATTGAGGTTGTTTTGTCCAGCAATCATCAGTCCCGGCGTTAGGGAAAGAGTCATGATGGGAATCTTGTTGGTACTAGTAGTAGCTGCCTGCTGACTTCATCCTTTGGCAAGGCGATCTTCTTCAGGCCATCGGCGTCGTGCCAGCGAACCGTACTAGCAGCCTCTCCAAAACAGGGAAATGCAAATCTGCACCAGCAGACTTATTTGTTCTTGGCATCTGGGTTTCTGGGTGTGCTACAGCACAAAAATGTACAAAATAAAATATATGTCAACATAGAACCCAAACAGTTTCAGCATTAATTTTGGGCATGTCAACTCCTTGAGTTCCAATAACGTCTGTATTGGGAATGTCATGTAGGCAAAAAGACTGTCAGTAAACCGTGGTTCCTGATTCCTGAGGTCATCACATGTGTAAGTACGAAGGGATATATATATATGTCAAGAGAAAACATGCGGATGATATCAACCGCTGCCTCACTGTCCTATTCAGAACCACACGAAAAGATACCCGGGCAAAACGGAGGAGAAAGGGAAAGCGGCGTTGCCAAGCAGGGATAATCGGATAAGGCCAGGACAAAGCGGTGATGAAGGGTCGACAACACCGACAAGCAGGACAGACAAGGCCTGGACAAAACCCTCACGAGGCGAAGAGACCCCAGGCACCTGGCCCATCGCGCGAGGCCTGGACAAGGCCAGCGCGGCCAGAGGACAACAGCAGGACAAAAGGAGGACAAGAGAAGGACAACAGGAGGACACAGGTTGGCCAGCGCGGCCAAAGGACAATAGGAGGACAAGGGCTAGAGTCTAGAGGACAACAGCAGGACAAGAGGAGGACAAGACCCGGACACAGAGTTCAGGGGCGTGGCCAGCCAGTGTAGCTAGCAATCTTTTGCCTAAGAGAGAATCCCGACAGTAAACCGTTTTAGGAAAAAGGATAAAGCGACATAACCCACTGTTGGAATGTTCTATCTGTACGCACAAATAGATCAGCGAGTCTCGTCTCCACAATTTCTGGGCCTTTGTCATGGCATTTGCCTGGTCAGAGGAGATCACACAATCCTGAGGCACTGTTCGGGCAGCGGGGATGTGAAGCATTGGCTGCTTGGAGGCCGTTCCTATTAGGTTGCAGGCCATCACTAGCAGGTTGGAGGCCATCCCTATTAGGTTGCAGGCCATCTCCATTAGGTTGGAGGCCATCGCTATTGGGGGTGGAGGCTTTGCTAAGGAATTGCCTTGCAACCGCTCAGAAGCAATACGACGGTATTTGGCCGGATGCTCGGCCTCATAAAGGGCTTCCACAATGCGACTCCAAACCTCGAAAGCACATGACATGTGATCAAGCAGCTTCTGGTGTATCTCAACCCGACCATCCAATAAGAATGGAACCCTTTGGTACGAATGGAATAAGTTTCGCTCTGGCTCTGCAATTTAGGTTCTGTACCATGCGCCATGAGACGCCAAAGATTGATTGCATCGCCTCGCCATCACTGATCCTTAGCTGCATTTTTTTGAACCACGCCTTGATAAAAAAGGGCTAGACATGACAACAGGACTGGCTTGTTCGGTGCAAAGGCAAGCTACAAACAGCAGGCAACAAAGACTCTGAAGTACTTCATGAACACTTCTACAGGTTGTAAGCATCGCACTGGCGGTCTTCACGCCTTTTCGGTTTCTGCAAGCCTGGAACGCGTCCTTCTGAACAGGAGTCCAGGTCCTGCGTTAGATCACTTCCCTCAGAAATGTCCTCCATTGCATTCTTTGCATGTTCTTCACAATTGACATGGATCATAATCACCCTATCCAACACCCACAGTCCAAATGCCGCAGTGCTGTAGACAGAACCTTAGCTAGAAGTAGCAGCTCTGGAAGTTCAAAAAAAACCTTGTCAGGATCTGGGGAGGCAGCATTTCGCAAGCCTCGCCATTCGCCCATACCTAGGTGAAAGGTGCAAAATCTTCAACACACCTGCGAACTTAAGAACATTGAGGTTTTCTCCTGCCGACCATGCATTGAACCGGCTTTATCTGATTTGTGCTCAGGAGCAATACCCAAAGATAGCAGTCCCAGCCTCAGGGGCGACGTGCCTTTTGCCAACTTGCAGTGGCAATGCAGCATGACTCCAATCACTAAGACTTTGCAGCTTCGTTGCATAAAAAATGTAGTAAATGTCCTGAAGCACATCTGCATGCACACCCAATCCAACCCCAGAATGCAAAGGAGCAGCCACAAGTTGTAATTGAGCCAAGTCTCAAAGAAGGCTGTGAGGATGACCAAAGACCAAACAAAGCCGAGAGCACCCACGCAGGCGAAGCAGTCACTGGTGATGAGCTTGAAGTGTTTCGTCTGTCCTCAGGCATTTCTGCCAAACACTGTACCAAACTTGAACCAGACTTTAGAACT